TCAATCATCGTCAGTCAATCAATCGTCATCAGTCATTCAATCATGATCACCCAATTAATCATGATCAGTCAATTAATCATCATCAGCCAATCATTCATCACCAGGCAATCAATCACCATGAGCAAATCAATCATCGTTAGTCAATCAATCGTCATCAGTCATTCAATCATGATCACCCAATTAATCATGATCAGTTAATTAATAATCATCAGTCAATCATTCATCACCAGTCAGTCAATCATCATCAGCCAACTAATCATTATCAGTCAATCATCATCAGTCTATCATTCAATCAATAATGATCAGTCAATCAATCATCAGCCATGGTCAGTTACTCAGTCAATATTAGTTATACAAGAATCATAAATCAGTCAATCAGCATCAATCACATCAAACATCATCAATCATTACGTGCAGCCAAACATCGATAGTAAAACGTATCCTACAATAATTCCTTGACCCCTGAAGATCCTGTTTATTAAAGTTCCCACATTGAATGACTTCAGGCAGAGCATCGCAAGTGCATCGTACAGCAAATTTTATGTCCGGCTGAGAGTTTGCGTGAGAAGCATGCGAAACATGTGCAACATATTTGCCAATGCATTTGGCAACATCATTAAGTTGAAAATTGTTGGGCCGCAGGAGTGCAACGGCCTATGAAGGACCGCAGTGGAGATGGCAATGGCGCTGCAATTGGAGCCAGATGCACCGAAGGGCGAAGGCAATGAATTTTCATGAATGCAGTCAAGTCTATAAAAATTAATGCCACATGCAGTTGGATGCGTTTTAAATATGAGTGTGGAAAAACTGTGTGGCAAATTTCGGTTCGAGCACTCTCAGAGGGCCCCGAAAGCCCCAACTGCCGGCGCAAGGCTTATCAAATGGTCATTTCTGTTTGCATTTAATTAAAAATCAGACAAAAAGGCAGGACACGTGTCAATGCGACGCATCCAACGGGACGCCAAGCGCAAGGACACGGGGTGCGATAAATCACGCTTTAAACAAATGCCAAGTAATTTATCAATGTCAACACTAAGCAACAACAAAAAACACTGGCAATAGCAGGCGGTAGTGCTCGACTGGGAGATACTCTGGACAGAATTTTGTTAATCATGTAAGAATTGGTAAACATACAGACACTAGAAGGATATTTCCAAAGTACCTTAAGGAGAGCCTGTGCTTATATACAAAGCCAGGAAAGCGATACCAAACAGTATAAACCTGAGTTAACAGAGAATAGAAAATATGTTCATTAAAGTACAGGTCTCTAGTTTTATAGTTTATATACTGACGGATAGATAGGCAGAGAGCAAATGCAGCTCGATAACCGGGAAATCGAATAAGTTATCAGAATATAGGTGAAGCCTACAGAAATACATTAATTGAATTTCAAGTCTTCAAATATATTTCTTTAAAAACTAGAACAGGCATAGAAGGACAAACAGACAAAAGGATAATATAGATCGATAATTGGGAAATTGAATAAGTTATCGGAAAATAGATAATATAAACATAAATATATTATTAAAATTTCAAGTCCATTAACTTTAGTTGTTTATATAGGCATAAGGAAGGCATAGAGTATGGCATATATAGGCATAGAGGAAGGACAGACACAAAAGAAAAATACAGATCGATAACTAGGAAATCGAATGAGTTATTAGTAAATAGATTAGCTAGCTAAAAATCGGCTATTCGTACTGCAAATTGTAACCTTTGGTAGTTTATCAAATGAATACATTCATGAGGAAGGGCAGGCAGAAAAAAATACAGACAGAGTACATGGCTTGATCGACTCCAACTCTCAATATACCCATTTGCAGTGCATTACAGGGTAAATTAAAAAAACCAACCTGAAAAGTAAGAGCTGAAAGGATTAAAATCCGTGCTTAAGCCTGTGAGGCTGGGGCGGCATTATCAATGTAAATTCGTGTGGCAGCCACGCTTTGTTTGCCGCTGCTCAAGACTTTTGCTTAATTTTCAATTTGATTGTGGCAGGCAGGCCTTTGGTCAGCTAAAAACACACACACGCACGAACACACACATACACACACACTTGGACGTCTGTTTGTGTTTACTTTTGGGCGTTTGAACGGGGCAAAGTTCACTAAATTGCATTTCGGCACGCAATTAGTGGTTCATTTGCCGCCCGAGCGAATGTGTGTGTGTGTGTGTGTGTGTGTGTGTGTGTGTGTGTAGATGGACAAGACTTTCGATATTTGTGCAATCTCAGGTGGGGGCCTTTGCTTATTTGCTTTGTGTGCAAACTTAATTTCATCTTATTACGGTGCAGAAATTTTGCAATTTCCGCAAATGCCCAGCAACTTGGAGCTTGGACCTTGGACCTTGGTCGAGAACTGCGTCTTGGCCTATTTGTCCTTTGAACGGAAATGGAAAATACGTGTAAGCAGGCAGGCAGTCAGGCAGTCAGGCAGGTAGTTAGGCAGGTGGGCAGCTGAGCAGTCTCAAGTGTTTATTTGGAGTCCTAGGACTTGATTAATTTACGTGGCGTCTGCCTGCAATCATTTAAGATATTGGCTTTATAACAGAGTTAAGATGCTCAGCTGCGATTGCCAAAACAAACGATTGCTTTAATTTTCCAATACCCTGTAAGATTCTTATCAATTAGGTTAATTTTCTATGTGCATAGGTTTTTCCTAAAGAGAGTAGATGAAGAAATAGAAATGTAAGAATGACGAACTGAGTTGATCTAACTGACCCTGAAAAGTCTGTTCAAGTTTGAAATATAAATTCTTGTATACCCATTGTAATGTAAAGTTAACATTCTTTTGTTTACAAGAAATCATTGGACTTCTTAGTTATTATTATTTATTTATTTTATTTTATTTTATTTATTTATTTTTTTTTTTTTTTTTTTTTGTAATTTTTATTTTAGAAGTTAGCTAAGACTAAACTAAAACAGATGTAAAATAAATTTAAAAATAAAAAAAAAACATATTTCAAATTTTTATTAGTTTATATATTATTGATACCTAAGCTGCTCGTTGAAACTAGACTGAATACTCTTGCAGGCCTTTTTTAGCTCATATAAACATATCTTGGTTTTCGCGACAAATCGTTTGCTAGTTATCGATATATATCGATTTTTTTGAGTTGGGTTTTTAGAAGAGTATTGAATTTATAAACATATTGCAATAAAAATGCAAACTATGAACTATTTTAATTTCAGATTGAAAAATTAAATATACATATGCATATACACATAATTTGTTTTTCTATATATATAAAAATTTTTGTTTTCTATATTAGACAAGAAGCCACAAATAATTACAGCAGCAGCGGTTCGTATAGCTCAGGCTAGTACAGTATTAGCTTCCTCTTTGTTTTTATTTTATTTTTTTCTGCTGCCACAAATCAGATAATTGTAAATTGTAAAATTACGTAATTTATGGCATTTTTTTTGCAGTGCTGAGAAATTGCAAGGACACTCCCTCTAAGTGGCATGTTTCACAATTTGATGTACAGAAAGCAGAGCAGCGCATAAAAGAGAAGCTAATTTAATTAAAAGAAAATGCAATCAAAAACGCCATTTGGCAGTGTCGCCCGTGTCCTGGCATTGTCCTGTGCGTGCCGCCTTGCAATTTTCATTCCAATGCAGGACACACTTTTTTACGACCGCAAAACAATGACGAAATGCAGCCGCAAGACTGAGACAGAGACAGAGACAGAGAGAGAGAGAGAGAGAGAGAGAGAGAGAGAGAGAGGGACAGAGACAGAGACAGAGCCAATGGCAGCCAGCAGGATATGCCATGCGGTTGTTATCCTGCGATGCGATTTTATGCACATTTATCATAATTTCACACGCAGCCCTCGACGAGGCAGTCACAACAAGGACACTTTTTTAGTTCCATATTCCGCATTCCGTATTCGAGCTGCGAGGGTTTGGTAGCGCATAAAAAATATAAATTTAAGTGCAGCGGCTCCTCGGGCAGAGGGCGCGGCTGGAGGTGCAGAAATTGCATTTCGCCTTTTACGACCAAAGGACATTTATGGCATTTCCTTAGCCAGGACGAAACGAAAGCCAACTGTAGGTAATAACCCATTAAAACTATTCGCATACACAAACACACACACACACATACACACTCACACACACCTCTGTAGGTAGGAGAAGGACTTTGGCATGTAGATCCTGACGGCAACATGTCAACACTTCTGCCTTTTCCTTCGGCTCTCTGTGACGATTTCCTTGGCGCCAACAACAATGTTTTGGGAACTGGTTATTAATATTAATGCCGGCCAAACTGTTAGCCATAAACTAGTCGTTAATAATAATAAATTCTGGAAATGGTACAAAAAGAATGTGTAGAATTAAGGGAAATGCGCGACGAAGCGATACTCTGGGAATATATTAAATTATTAGTAAGGTATTGGAAATATTACAGGGTATTTCAGCTAATAAATTTTGTAGAAAGTTAGAGCAAAGCTTAGAGCAAGCTCAGATTTAGTTGGAATATTCCAAAGCCAACTTTACAGGGTATATTTTACAAGTTTAGGCTGAGCTTGGAATAGATAAAAAGGATGTTTGAGTATTCGTAAGGCTTTTTTGCTGGGTATATATAAAGAGCGTAAGGTGAGCTTAGCTTAGGAAAAATTAAAAATATTTTGAAGCCAATTTTACAGGATATTATTTTCTGTGTAAGTGTATAGACTGCTTAAGATTGCTTAAAAGACATTATTTTTTAAAAACCTTAAACAAAAACAAAAGTACTTAAAAAGCTTAAATTTGAGTCTAAAAATAAAAAGAAATCTTAAAATTAAGAATTTTGCGTGCTAACAATAAATAAATAATAATGAGTAAATTGTGGAATCTACAGAATAGCTGAAAATATACAAAAAATTACAAAAGATAAATAGATATATATGTATATAAATATATTTTTTTATATAGGAAAATACAAAATTTTAAAAATAAATTTAAAAAAATATATATTTTATTATAAATATTTTAATAAATAAATTAATAAATACAAGCTTACCTCGTTTTCAGATCTCTTTTATATTCCCAGCAACTCAACATATCCAAGCTTTCATTATTTACAGGGTATAAACTATATACAGAAGCTGAAAAAACAGGAAAAAATGCCGTAAAAATCCAAATCATAAAATTACTTTTTATTTACTTTTTTTCTTGTTGGCTGCTGGGCTGAAATCTCGGGAGGTATTATCAGACACGTTTTCCGGTAATTGAAGTGTTTGTTGTCGTTGCTCCTGTTGTTGTTATTGTTGTTGTTGTTGTTGCAGGCAGCTGGCACAGTCCACGCATCGTAGCTCTCATAATTCTCTAGTTGTGACAAATCAACGCCCTCTTCTATTTAACTTCCTGCTGCCTTTTTACGAGTGTGAGCGTGTGCGTGTGTGCGTGTGTGTATGTGTAGTTTTAGTGTAAGTCCTTGCTCATCTTCTTCCTTTCGTATTTGCTTCTTCTTGTTGTTGCTTTATCAAAAGTAATTTCGCTTTTATTTCCTTTGACTATTGCCAGCGATTTCCGTTATTTTTTTCTCCCGTCAATAATTTCATCTCATTTCATTCTTTGTCATAAAAAATGTTGCAAGTGAAGAAGTTTGTTATCCTTGTTGTTGTTGTTGTTGTTGCTGTTGTTATGCCATTTGATGCATGCAATATGCACAAAGTTTCCTATTTCAATAAAAAAAAATACTATAAGTCGAATTGTGGATATAAATCTATAAAAAAAAAATCTCACAACGTTAATAAAACTTGTTGGGGTTGCGAATTTTTGTATTAAGTAGACAGCTGCTGCGAGACAACAAACTTGCTCGAGTGTTTGCTTACACATAACTTAATAAGAAATATTCGAATTGATCAAAAATCTTAATAAGCGCAATTGTTTGCCCTTTTCACACACAATTACACAGAAAGTGTTAGAAATTCATTTTAAATACTTTCGGGTGAATATCATAACAGATTTTATTTATTTAACAGCACTGTGTAACAACATATCGGCTTAGGGCGCAGCGGACATGATTGAGTGGCTCTTTAACAGTGAGCGCTAGCCATACTGTGCTCACTTTAGTGATCACTGTTAAGTACTCACTAACTTAGTGCACTGAGTCTTTTAACAGCGCAGCTAACAGCAATATTATGCAAATCGATCTGTTATGTTAACGCTGCCATTAACAGTGCGCAATTAGCTTCTCAGCGTTTGCCAATTTAGCTATTTTTCTGCCGTCAACACAGAACTTGTACCTTTTTGTAGAGTCGTAAGCGAAGTATTTAAACATTTATAAGATTTTCGAACAGCTGCCCTAAAGAAAGATCTCATTCTGGTAGTTGTTCAGCGTTTTCTAGATTTTTTGGTTAGTTTGTAAGAATATAAAAAAATGTTTAAAATATATTTGAAGTAAAATTTCAAACAAATTACATATAAAAAGTGTAGCTGTTTGCTAATTTGAGTAAGTTCGCATTTAAATATCAATAAAGAACTTTCTTATTGACAGCATTTTTATTTTTTTGGTATTTGAATTGGTTTTGTGTGAATGGCTTATTAAGCAGCCCTGTGGTGCACATATACACACACGCACACATCTCGTGACAGTTTCTCGCAAAGTGACAGCAACGGCGGTCTGACAAATGCAAGTGCTCGGTTTCTTTTTCTTTTTTTTCAAGTGAAAATTTAGTGAATATAAATAAATAAATATGCATATAATATAAAAATGTATAAAATATAATTTTCTAAACGCAAAGTGCATAAAAAGCAATAGCAAAGCAATTGAATGAAAAAAGTGTAGCGGTTTACGCGTGTGAAAAGTGTTGCTACATCTAAGTGTGTGTGCGTCAAAAAGAGAGCAAAGATTGGTGTCTATGCGTGTGTGTGCGGCATTTTATTGCGACGTTAAATTGTCTGCTGCTTTTTGCAAAGATATTCAATTGAAAGTTAAAGTTAAGTTAATTTACACTTTCCCAGCGTCTTGAAGGCATTGCTTACACAATAGTTCGCAATTAGCATCCACATAAACTGCAATTCTTCGCGGCTGCTCCAGCCTAAAGGAGACCCCTAAGTAGCTGACGTCATAAAACTACCAATGTCAGACCGCAAAACTGTTCGCTACCTGAAGTTCAGCTTATGCCATGCCTGCATGCATATAACATTTTATTAGCTGACATATTTATGCATATTATTAAAAATGTTTTTACTTTTTTTCTATACATGAACAAAAGTGAAATTTAGCAAGCATCGTTTTTGGCATTTAGCATTTCGCAACAGGATCAACATAATCATTGCTATTGCAGGAAAGGGACGCGCGCCTCCGTGGCTCATTAATTTTTATTCGTGCGACGTGTGTATGCATGCGTGCGTGTGAGAAAGAGAGAGGGATAGTGTGTGTGTGTATGTGCATGGCTTTTGGTTGCAATAAAAACATATTTTATTAGTTGGCGCAAAAAGGATGCGTGTGTGTGTTAGTGTCCTGGGTCCGATCTCAACCACCATTTGAACTGAGCTGATGACTTGCTGTCATCATAAATTCATTATTTATGGTGCAATCAATGCGACCGAGCGTATGTCAAACACATCAAAAATCAACAGCTCATCAGCGAGGCGAAGGCGACTGTCACACAACGCATAACGGAAGTTTGTTTATTTTATAGTTTTTGCCGCCCGTCGTCGGCGAGCGCGGTGCGAAAATTTGCAAAAATCCTGTGATGATGCGCCGCGGGTTGTCCGGCCGACAGTTATGGCTCATGTTTGACGTTTGCCTTGGCAAATTTGAATCTCTTTTATGGGACACCTTCAATTTGGTTGATCTGCGTCGCACGATATACCCTAACGGCATTGAAATGTGCTAGGGTATGCTTGTTGATCTCTGTATGAAAGGCAGAGATTCAGAGTGAGCCTTGTGGATGCTAATCTGTGGATTGTAAGAGAGTAATAAATTACGTAGCTGTTGTTGCATTAGTGTGTCTGCCTGTTTAGCGTAAGTGTGTGTGCTTAACTCCTTCGATCCAAGAGAGTGTGCAAGAGAGTGCAAGCGAGAAAACAAGTGAGTAGACATTTTTTATTCATTTACATGGGACAGTGGTCAACACATAACACATGAAAAAACTAAAATATACAATTAATTTATATTTAACCTTATCAATTAATAAAAGTCTTAATTTTTTAAATATGTTGCAAAATTATATTTTGGATATTTTATATATATTTTAAATAATTAAATAATATACAAATATAATATAGGAAAGAAAATAATAATAACCTGATTTTAAATACATTCATTTAATATACAGTTTTTAAATATACAACTCATATTAATATATATTTTTATACTTCTTTGTAATTAATTCTTAGTCTTGTTATATATAGGGTATACAATATTCCATCATTTGGTTGCCTGTCTATTTAGTTGCTTATTTTGATGGGTGCGGCATTTTCTATTACAAATTTCGAAATTAACGCTTAAATATTTGCCAAAAACTGCCATAATTCACTTTTGGCAACATGTTTGATTTGTTCAGTTGAGATGATGACTTTAATGCCTTTAAGGACTATTATCTGTGGCAACATGAGCTGCGCGAGCTGGGCGAACTAATTAAATGCTCAACTGATGGCTGCGTGTGTGCTCATTTAACGCTGCCAGAGCAAATGATGAATGGCCGAGTGCTTCCTATTTTTGGGCTTATCCATTTTCCACCCTGCAATTAATATGCTCTTAATCAGGAATGGGAAAAGTGGAAAAGCAACCCAACCTACTGAACAAATGTCTTCCATCATCTTTTCAGAGCAAACTTGCGTGATTTGTGCACCTCAAGAACAACTCGACTCCAGTTCATAATGCGTCATTCGTCCTGGCTATATCAATATCCTGACTTGTGCGGTCACGCATCGTATTGCTCCAGTCATAATTTCATTGGGGGCTCTCTCTTTATTTGTTTCGTATTCCTTGTTAAATATTCATGCGAATCTGCGCGTTGTCAGCTTCGTTATTCCTTTAATGACATTTCAATAATTAATGTACTTTTCCCTCATTTTTTTCATTTCCGTTTTCCTGTGCGTGTCCTTTCTGCTGCTCTATATCTATATCTATATAGACAGACTACTCGACTAGCACGTCAACATTCGTCGACATCATCAATCAAAATGGTATTTTTAAATGTTTCGCTTAGGAACTGCTTGTCGCGGCTTATAAATGATGCTGTTATATGGTTTTTCTTTTTTTTTTATGTTCTCTTGAGGGTTTTTGAGTGGTTTTTTGATTACTTTTTGGGCTGGTTTTTTAAATAGCAAATTTCCATCAATTTTAATAAGTCAAAATAAGTCAAGAATGCTAATGCTCTAATTGCATGCGCCCACTTTGGTGTAAATATGTCAATTGGTGATACTTAAATCTATAATATTTATTTACTTTCTTTATATTTATTATTATTTTAACAAAAATCATCTTAAATTCCTCTTATTTATTTATTTTTTTCTTATTTATTTTTCCCTATAGAAAAGATATTATTATATTATTTGAAAGTATCAAGACTCGTTTATATCGAAACTCGCATTCTAATCGCATTTACTCTCAAATTATCTTAGTTTACTTCTCTACTTCGTACAGCTGTCGCAAAACCCACAACAATTGGAATGGGGAATGTGAACAATTTTTCCAATTGACTTATTCGCACACCCTATAAATGGCTTTTCTTTGCGTCTGCACTCATAATTCGCTCACAAATGCATTTTATTAGATAATGTTATTAAGTTTCCATTAGTTTTGTTGACTGATTTGGCTTAACTCAATTTGGCAAGCTTTTTTGGGTTCAGAAAATAAAGAAATTGTATTATGGAATTTTAGCAAATGAAACATGGTTTATTGACTAAAATTAAAAAAATAATAATAAAGTTTTTGATTATTTTTTTAGGACTAGACTTAAACATCATAATACTGTTTTTAAAATAAAATATATCTGAATTTATTTTTAACATGAATTACATTTTAGTTGGGTTTCTAAATACAATGCATGTGTACTATATTATCAAGAGTATATATATTTCTAATATTTAATTATATTTATATGTAAAATGTTTGATTTTTATTTTGTTGACTAGTTTATTTATTATGAATAGTCGAGTATACCCAGTTTCTTTATTGTAAATTTATATACATATTATATGTACATTTCTATTCATTTGTTTATTCGCTTCTACCCTGTAGGAATTTCATATGACCTTCGTTTGTTTTGGGTCTCGCAAATGTTTTCAGATTTGTTTGTCTCATTTGCACGAATTTTAAGCTACCTAAAACCTATAATTCTTTTCGGCTAGAGAGAATCATGTGAAGCTAAAAGAATTCACAGCTTTTGAACCCAGAAATCCGTTGGGTTGGGTAAGATTTTATTTGTGCTGAAAACGCTCAGAGAATTTCCTTCGATGGAAGTTCACTCAAGTTGGCAGCCAAATTAGAAACGCTTTGCCAACTAATTAGCCGCTCAGAAGAAGTTCTCGCTTTTCTTGGCTAACATTTGTGTTAACTGTTTTTCTGTCTGTGATTTTTACAGCTTTCTGACTTACAAATCGCTCGACATGGCAAAAGTTTTTATTGCGTGTGGCTCGACGAGCAGCAGCAGTAGCAGCAGCGAAAACATAATCATATAAACTTGTCTCAATTATTTTTCATATGCCACACTCACCCCGCCGCCGCCCTCCAAACAGTTTATCTGTTGAACGTTAATTAGTTTTTGTTTTTGGCCAAAGTGAAATTTTTGATTTTTTCTGTTCGCGCTGCGAACTTTTTATTAACAAAAATGTTTGCCAATCAAACTGAATTGAACTCATAGGACGCAGGACGCTCGTACTCCTGCTGCAGCTCCGGAGTACTTGCTGCTGCTGCTGCTGCTGCCGCTGCACTGATGATTGCAGCTGCATAAGTGCAAAAGTTTAATTAAAAGTCGTCTTGGCTGTTGTAGGGAGTCCTGAGGCTCTGGCGCCGCCCAAATGGCGCTTATGATGAGCCCCCTTTGAATTGCCAGCGCGCGCAATTTTCCATAAGTTTACAGATGAAGATGAAGAAGAAGAAGAAGCTGGAGCAGAAGAGAAAAATCAGCTTAAACATGCAAATTGTTTTGTTAGCACCTAATTTTTTGACATTATCAACCAGGGAGTCAAGTTTTCCAAGCTCAAAATGTTTCTCTGTATTTTTGCATAATTGAATTTTCCACAAATTTTTCTTTTTTTTGGTTAACTTGGCAACTTTGCTGCGAGCGATTTTCCTGTTAGCAACGGCAAGTGGAAAACTTTTGGCAAAAAAACTTTTGTAGGAATATGCAAAACTAACAGTTGATATTATATACAAAGGGTTTACATTAAATTATAAATGTGCGTTGAATTAATTGAATATTTCAGTTAAGAATTTCTTTAAATTATGTAAAGGAAAAAGAGAAAGTTTTAATTATGATTAACAAAAAATAGGGAATATCATATAAATATACCATATGTATAATATGAATGTATGATAATATTTTGTATTTATATCTCCTATTAAACTGTCTGAACGTTTAGCAGATATTCTATCTATTTATGTCTCTATATATTAATCAATTTGTCTCGCTCTCTAACTTCATCTTATTATCTTTATGCTTGTCTACATTATACTGAAATCAAGATATAAATATATATTAAGACAATGTTCTTCGATTACTAATTGGATTCAGAGCATGATAATTGCAAATATTTTGTAAACTTGAATTTGTCTCAATTGATAAGAAATCTACAAATTTCTTTAATTAGGATTTGCTAATTTAAATTAAATCCCCTCTCATTGTAATCATCTATCTTAAGACTAGAAAATTGTGCTTCCTGATTGTTATCTCATATTTTTTTTTACACTATAAAGTGTACATTTATTTAAAAATAATATAAACGCAAACATGTTTCAGTCAACTTAAAAGCCGTCGGTGGCAACAAAATTCAATTTGATTAAAAGCCGTCGGCAGTTGACGAAACAAGAGAAATTTCCTTTGTTCTAGAAGATTAAAAACAGATTCTAGAAGATCAGATCAGATAAGACGAGTCTTCCGTAAAAGCTGAAACATTTCCATACATTATATGAATTCATAAAGTGTATAGATATAGATATATATCCAGCTATATATATAGCGCGCTACGATTTGTCTCTTGAATTTATTTAACTTCCGTTAACGTCTGATTTATATATTTCCGATATTGATAAATTAATGGTTTTGCCAATAATTCTGAGACTGAATAAATAAGTATATCTTTAACATTTGGGAAATATTATTTTATTTTTTTTCTTGAGACATTAAATAAATAAAAATATATTTTATTATTGTATATTTCTTTTTTGCAAAAAATGCATAAAAATTTCTTCTGAGACTTGTTTAAAAATTTTCTGTTTATTTATTGTAATTATTATTATTTTCTTTATAATGATAATTTATTGTTTATTGCCAAATATCTTGAGACATGAAATAAATAAGAGTAGGTGTGAAATATGTATGTCAATTTTTTTCCCGTAAGAAATAGATCAATATTCTGATTTTTTTTCTGTCCAAAAAATATTAACAAAAATTTCTTTCTCCTTGTCACCTGCTGAAAAGTTGTAGACAATAAATAAATAAAAAATCATTTATATTTTTTTTTTTTTTTTTTTTTTTATTTCGTTTTCTTTTTTTCGTTTCTGGCTTGTCAAAAAAATTGATACAATTTTTCTTAGTCAAACCTTATAAATATTAGGCGGAATTTTGTATAAAAAACTTCCGCTTCGTCAGTTTTTACAAAATCGTTTAGCAGGACGCTTACAAACTAAAAGACATATATTTTTGTTGTTGCTACAATTAAATCAAATATTGCTAACTCGAAAACTTGTTTCGCTTGACATACATATATTTAAATATATATAGTTGTTGTTGTTGCTGTGTAGAAACAAAACCATTATCACAATCGCTTTGATGAGTAAACTTAGAAGCAGGAAGAATTTCGGGGGGATCAAAATGTTGTTGTTGCTGCTGCTGCTGTTGGTGTTGTTGTTGGGGCCGTCGGCGTTTTAGCCCATCAGTTAAGACTAATATAGTCAACGGTTTTTGCTTTTGACGGACTTGTTGTTGTTGTAGTAGAAGTAGTAGTAACTGTTGTAGTTGTTGTTCTTGTTGTTGTTTACTCAACTCTGCGCTTTTCACTGCGATGGTTTGCGCCACTTGCCACACTTACGTCCCGCTCGCTGCACGCACTCGCTGGCCGTGGAGTCCATTAGCTGGCGTATCGTGTTCAATACAACTGTTGCCATTTGCCATTGACGTAGGCGCAACAGCTGTTTCTCCTGTTCGCGCGCCTTGCGCAGCATTTCCTTCTGATCCGGTATGTAGAAGGCCACAGCCATTGCTGGTGTTGTTGTTGCTGCTACGCTTCTAGTTGTTGTTGTTCTTGTTGTATTGTTTTCAAGGAAAACGTTGTGTGTTCTTTGTTTCCTCAATTGCACAATTGTTTGTAATTAATAAATGTCTTTCTTTGCTGCGTCTGACTCAAGACTTTCTCTTTGCAGATTCACGCGAGGCACACAATGAATAAATTAACTACACAAATGCTTTGTTGTTGTTGTTGATGTTGTTCGCATTTACGCACACGTCAATATAATGTATCTTTGTATGTGTGTGTGTGTGTTCGACGGTTCGTTCACTTTGTTTTGCTTCGCTGCTGCTGCTCTGCTTGGCTCTGCGTCCGCTCACTACTTTGGCTGATTTCAAACTGGCTGGCGTGAGCGCAATGCAGGCTCTTTTATATGCCTTGCTCTCGCTCTCGCAGTCGCGGCCGCAGTCGGCGTCGCTGCTCATCGTTCGCCTCTCTCATCGTTCTCGCTCGTCGACCGTCGACGTTCGCTCGCTATAGAAACATTTTTTTTGTTTTGGTATTTTTGTTGACATCGCCTCATTCGTACATTTTTTTGTATTTGTTGCCAGGTCGTGCGGCTGCATCTGCAAAGTGGGCGTGGGCGGGGCGGCCACCTTGCGCCTGTTGCCAAGCGTGTCTCTCGTTGGATATGTGTGTGTGTGTGTGGCGTCGCTGTCGCCGTCGCGCCTTTGTTGTAACTGTATGCGGCGAGAAGTACAGTTAGCATATTAATTGTATTAAATCGTCGTCGCATGACAAACATTTTCAACGCAACGTCTAGAAGGCAAAACAGGAGCTGACAGCGACAGAGAAGGAGAGAGAGACAGAGAGAATGAGAGAGTGTGAAGGAGAGAGAACTCGTATAGCGGGAGCCTGTAAGAGTTGGAAAAAATGTGGGCAAGTGGGCAAGTTCGTTTGCCAAGTAAAAAACCCAGATAAATGTGCTTTCATATAAGTAATTATTAATTTGCTACACATACACACATACACTCATACGCCCATGCATCAAGTTCACATTTTTGATGAGTTGTCAGCGCATGAATATGACGAGCCTTTTAGCCAGGTCTTTATCAGCACATTTCTATGAAAGTGTTTTACAAATGTTTTTTCCCGTCACTTCCGACTTCAGTAGCCAGAGGCATGTACACAGATACAATATACATATATACATATATGTATATATCTATAATATACATAGTAGCTAAGTAGTATAGATAATGAAAGTCTGTCACGAATTCTTTATAAATTTACATACACTCATGTTTATATAAACATATTAACGTATATATTGTTCAACAATGTGCTTGTCATTTTTTGTTTATAATTCGCAAATATTATCGTATTCATTAGACCGAAATGATCTGAGAATTATTATAGCATTAAATGCAATCTCAGACGCTAAACGAATGCGATATACATACTACATAAAAATTTCCGAAATTTCACATGAACTCGTTGACTTTTTGAACGCATTTCATTCATAATTTTATAAATAGTATATATATGATACAATATATTATATATATAGTAGTGGGATGGTTCTTGAATTGATGGTAAAAAATTTGTACTCATAAACATAAAATTTTGATAACGATTTGTTAATTGAGAATTAAAGAATTTTAGTTTTATACAAATTTTGTTTGCTCAAGATTTAGTGCTTAGTCATTATTTTTAAAACCGCAGCTGTATATACATATGTATATGTAATATATGCGCTATATATGCGCTTCAGTATATACTTTTTATTTACATATTTATATGTATATTTTCATGAATGCTTATATATGAATGTATATTTACTTGAATATTTATATACGCATACATCTACATTTATGTTTAAATATTTTTAATAGAGATTTATTCAAATTGTTTTTTATTTATATATATTTACTTGGATATTTATCTGTATATATTTATTTGATTATTATTATACGTATGTATATTTAATTGCATATTTATACAATTTTGATTTTCTTGTATATTTTTATATTTTTGAAAATTTATATATCAATTTACCAAAATTTTTTATTATATATTTTAATTTTTCGCATTCTTATTTTTATAGTTTAATATTTATGAATTTATATATGTTTAATATATATTTTTACTTGATTACTCAAAGATATTTACTCGATTATTTAGTTGGATGTTTAAATGAATTCGCATGAATAAATTTTTAAACTGAATCGAAAGAAAAACAAAAAAGTAACCTAAACAAATAAAATATTAGAATTTACAATTTTTTAATTTTTTTTTTTATTTGCGCAGGTCTAATTGTTAAATAAACACATACCGCTAACAATTATTACTTCTATTATAAATTTCTGCTTCGTAAAATATTTTATTAAATATATGAATATTTAGATTACTTGATATTTAATAAAATCCCATTTCAAGTTAAAATAAACATTCTATAAAGTTAATTCATTAGTCAGCTCTTCGAATGTAGTTCAAATTATTCATGCAACAAAGGCAAGATTTATTACGATCAATTGAATGATTAATACGATGGAACAAGAAGAAACATCCTGTAAACAACTTTCCAAATGATGAAATTCTGTTGCTGCAATTGAGGGCCAAACAGATTCGATTGTTTTTGGCCACATTATTGTGGCCTATCCACAAGTTGAGCTGGCCAACTGAATGGGCTCTCTAACTCCACCCACAAACTCGTCATCGTCATCGTCGTCTGTACTTTTGGGTTTAGCCTTTCGAGCAGCAGTTCGTCTCAAGTCTCTGCTGTTACACAACTTCCACTTAGGGGTTGCTCTAGACCTTCTATTGTTACAAGAACTACTCGCCCGGCTTGACTGTGTGTGCGTGTGTATCTCTCTTTCTGTTTGTGTGTGTGTGTTCTTTTGCACTGCTCTAACACAGTTTGCCCGACAAAGTCGCTGCATAGTTGGTTTTTTTGTGTTCTCTTCTTCTTTGCTTCTTGCTTTTCCGGGTTCGCGCCGGCAACATAAATCGAAAAGGCGTGGCTTATTTCCCTAACATAGTATTCCACACACCAGAAAGAAGCCGCAATAACATTCTCTGTTTCGCTTTCGGCCGCGCATTGAGCCAACCGACTGAAGTTGGATTTTTGGTCTGCTTCTGTTTTGGGATTTGGTATTTTGGGTTGCCTCACTTTTTTCTCCGTTTTTGTGCTCTGGGCGGAGCTTTGGCCGAAACCTTATTTAATGGGCTACCTTTATTTTGTGGCTGTTATTTTTATGAATCAGCGTTTCTGGGTGGAGCCTCTTCTAGCCAAAAGAAAATCTTCAACTCTCAGCTCAATTTGCCGTCGGTAATTTACGCATTAGGCTAGCCCTAATTGAGCCAATTAGTGATTTTGCCTTTGCTAGATTGAATAAATATGTGTTTATTGAGATAAGAGTTCCCATTGAGAATTGTTCAATGAGCCGTAAATTGGGTTGCCTTGCCTTGTTTTCTTAAAGGATTACATGATAAGTCTTTTTTGAATTTTGGAAATCTTTACAATCAACTTTCTTTCCTGCTGATGCGGGTAATTATTGCAATTTTTTATTGAAATTTTTGTAGCTAATGCTGAGCGACGTGTGTCAAGCATATCTGGGGTTATTTAGATATACATATAAAAATAAATATATTTATAGCATTGTTGTCGCTATCAATTTGCATATCTAATTGCATGGAAACAGTATTTACTTTATTCATGTCAAATTAGCTTTTAATTGAGTTTTCAATCTGCATGTCAAATCACCCACATGATCAAAAAACTTTTTCTGATGCGTGTGTCAATCGAAGTTTCATGAAAATTTCCCAGACTTTAAATGAGGCTTGACGGGCTATCCAGAAATTCGTAGTATTTCACCAGTTTGACGTTGTGACGCGCTTCTTTGTTTTGATTTTCGTTTGGGACTGCCTCAAAGAAACCTGTAGAAGAAGAAAGTATATTTGCTACGTCACACGTACGATATACATATATACGGCTCGTCATAGTATGTGCTAATGAGTAATGCTCACAATGCACTATGGGGAAAAATCCAAATTATCGGGTATTAATTAATAACTTGAAAACTAAGCCAGATTTTTTGATCCGGTTTTTTTATTATTAATATGTATACCATCAGAAATATATTTTAGAAAAATGGGCGTGTCACCGCCCACCCAAAAAAAATTTATTAAAATTTTGTATTAAAAATTTTTTTTTTTTTTTAAGAATTTTGCTTGTTCATACTTTAAAATAATAATTTTAATTGAAAACAATCGAACTTTCATAAAATCGAAATTAGTTTTCTTCAGTTTCGAGTTCCAAATCAGCCAGAAATATTGATCCGCTAAAAAAATTCGGGTTCTTCAACTGATTTAATTGTGCCTTCAACTTTACATAATACAATACGTACAACTTCATTAGACAGCGACCTTTATGCTTTCAAACTCTTTTCTAAAGATTTGCCGAAGAAATAATCTGATCAGATGTATCCATTGTTAAAAACCATCAGCGAAATTATGGATTCTGCTCTCATGCTCTCATGCATGATGAAATTAGTCTGATTTATAGACCTGGTTGGGCAAATCAGACGCTTCCTTACCAAAAAAGCCTACAGGATGAACAGTACTTTCCATAATCTGCCTCAAATGAACAATTATTTTTATAAACATTTGCTGTCATAGGCAGTCATTCATAGTTGTCAGCTAGTTTTTGTTCCTGCTGCATTTCTTCCATTTGTAATTTATATTTTGGCAAAAAAAGCGGCTTTTGCTTTTTTAATATCATTTATAAGTTGAATCAATATTAGTCTTATTTAGTTTCAAAATCACAATTACTATTTCTTGGTTAGAGTTGCCTTTTTCATTGAGCCAAATATCACACAGGTCAGCTCATAGTCACCTGCTAAAAATTGATTTGCGCCGGTTGTGCGCAAAAGTGCACATTGAGACAAAGGCACTAAGATCCCAATTGATTACTCTATAACATGCAATTGGAATTACACTGGTGCGCCCTGGTGGCTGTTTTATATGTCTTTGCAAAGTTTAATTTTATTTACAAGAAATGAAATTTGACAACATTTGCTAATTATACAATAAATGATTAAAATAAGTTCAAACATCAATTGGTTTTTAAGCCAACGCATAGTAGAAGCCCTAAAAATTCATATCCTTTTTAAATTTCTCAAAAATAATGTCTGGTCATTGAATAACGATGATTTGAAAATCGGCTAACACAAATTGTAAGCTGAAGGCAAATGCTTTTCGAAGATAACAGCTGACTTTAACAGCTGTTAGGCTTAACAGTGGACTGTTATTCAACATTTTGGGTACAGTACCTTAAAGTTTGGAGTTTTATTAAGATGTTAACATAAAAAAATTATAAATTTTCATACTTCGCAAAAATGACTAAA